TGTATTAACTTATGCACTAATACTAACATTAATATAGATCATATCGTATTCCTGTAAAGATGAGTACAAGGATGTCCTCGTAGAGTGTTATGGAATAACTCAGGAACCTGGAACATTGGATTTTATCCTTGTCTTAAATCATTTAGAATGTAACCTACATCAATTCTTAACAGATCACAATTATGCGCTCACTTGGAAACAAAAGTTTGATATTATCGGTGACTTAGCTTATAAATTGGGAAAAATACATAATGCTGATTCAGTTCATGGAAACTTACATTATGGTAATATTTTGTTAACTAAGCAAGTAGGACCATTTTTTATCAGCGATCTGGGTTTCTGCGAACCGATTGATCAACATCCGGATAATATTTACGGCAATCTTCCTTATATCGCGCCCGAAGTATTATATTACAAACAATATTCAAAACAATCAGACATTTATAGTTTAGGAATGATTATGTGGGTGGTATCTTCAGGGGAATTACCTTTCATTGATCGAAATCATGATGTCAAACTTGCACTTGATATAGTGAACGGACTAAGACCAAAAATAGATGGTGAAATTCCATCAGAATATGCAAATTTAATGAACCAATGTTTAGATGCTGTGCCTGCAAATCGGCCCGATGCTTTTGAGATTAGTCAAGAAATAACTAAATTTGTTAAAAAATATTATGAAAACTCCCCCACTGAAACTTATAAAGACATGGATTCCCAGCTTGCTAAAACCTCGAAAATATCCGTATGCTCTCAAGAAAATAATGAATTAAAGACGTCCCTACATTATAGTCAACTGTATTGTTTCAAAAACTTACCACGACCAAAAAATGCTATAGAAGGTAAATCTTTTTTCATCTTATTGGTTATTTAATATTGTATATTAATATATTGATTTTTTACTTGATTTCTTGAACTTCAGAAATTAAAGACAAATCTGCTAAAAAAAATTCCTACTGGTAAGAAATATATTAAAAAGCTATGGTAAATAAATTGACTTAAATATTTAAATTACATATTGTATTTTTAATATATCTAGATTCGAATAATAAACGGTCCCGATATAAAGCTAAAATTAACTTCATGCAGACATTGTTGAAAATTAAGGTAATTAATTAATTAATTCGTTAATTACTATTTGTCATTATTTTAGACACTAATTTTTTTTATATTTATTGTTAGACGAAATATTTAAAGAAATTAAAATCTAAAAATACGACATAGTCCTTTTTTTTTTTTAAAAAAAAAAATAACATATTCAGTACATAAATTTATATTTTGTCATATCTGGGTTCGTTATAAGAATGTGTTTATTATGGAAAGGTCGACTGTATAT